AGCCAAAAACGTGTTTTAAAGTGTTTTGTATTAAACTTGGCTAAGTGATTATTTAATTAAGTTATTTTAAAAGAGAGTTATTTTCACTTATTTTAATTTTTGAAAATCGGAAAATTTATTCATTATTTTTTAAAAAAAATAAAGATCCGAATTTTTTTTTATTGTAAAAAATCCAAATTTTTTTTTATGAAGGACATCCGATTTTTTATTTTTTTTATTTTATGGTGTCCAAATTTTTTTATGTTGGCCGAATATTTGGGCCTTTTTCGGGGCTTATTTTTCAAAAATTTATTTTAAAGAAGAGTCAAAAATATTTTTAGTTTGTTCATTTTGCAGGAAAACAAGGATTGAGGTAAGTACTATGTGTTAAAAGCTTTTAAAAGCTTGTTGGGTAGCTTGGGTAGGAAAGAATTTGGGCGTATAAGTTAGAAATAATCATGTTCTTGTATGCATTAAATTTTAGGTTGTGATGTTTGATCATGTGGATTGATTAATTGAAAGCATGTGATTATATGACTAGAAATAAGTGAAATTGTTTGATTGAACATTGAACCTAATTCATGCAAGAACTGTATTGTTTTTATTTTCTTTGGGAAGAGAATTCATTTCTAAGCCCTTTCCTTTACAGGATTCCGATTCTTCCTAGCAAACATTCCCAAATTGGTACTCTAATTTAGAAAAAACAATGAACATCCGTTTGACTATGTCAAGAAAATTAAATTATATTGTTCCCACATGAGCGATGTCTTAGGAGACAAGCACTATGATCTTCCTGATCGTGTTTCAGCTATGATTATTCACTGTCTTCCAGATGAACCCCCATATCTTGCTGTAAAAGCAAAGTTCTCTGATTTTTATTTACCTGGGAACATCCCAAACTACTCTAAATTCAAAAATTTCTATGGACAGTGGTACCCTAACTACATATACTTGATTTCTTACCTCGTTAAAGTTGAGAAAGATCATTGCCACCACTTACACATTCCATATCCCAATTACTACTATGAAAATCCGGCAGGGAATAATTCCCCTTCCACTAGTCATCAGTCAGGAAGTTCTTCTCCCACTCAAGGTAATCAAGCAGAGACAGATGGAGGGCAGGAAGAAGGAGAGATGATGGATGAGAGTAACAATATTGTTGATAGTTCCATTATGGAGATTCCAAATCCAAATCCACCTCCAACTCCAGTAATAATTAACATTTCATCTGACGATGAGGAAGATGAAGAGTTTGTCCAAGTAGAGCAAGATCCAGAATTACCTGAACCAATGGAGGGAGAAGATGACCCGGAATTCGATCTTGGAAGCTACAAACAATCTACCGACAAGAAGGATAATGTTCGAAAGGGCAAGATTTTTGTAGTTTCATTTCTTTCAAGATTCTTAGATTTGTTTTTGCATTTTAATTATCTCAGTTTCAATAAATCAATAACTGGCATGTCCATAGTGAGTCAGTAAACTTATGTAGTTGCATAAGTTATTTAAACTCATTTTATTTCAGTATTCCATTCATTTTCTTACTCAGCAATAAAATTTCATTTATTTCCTTATCAATTAATTCATTTTATTGAAAAATCATTCATTTCGTTCCCAAATCATTCATTTCGTATCACTACTCCAATAAGCCATTTCTTACTCAAACATATTCCAATGATTTATTTCTAAACTCTGGGAATCCATGGGAATTATTTTTATTTATTAATGTGATGCTTTATTAAATGTGTGGTTGGTTAGCAATCAATATTTGGTTGACAAAACTGCAAATTTTAGGAATTTTAACTTTTGTAATTCCAATTTGTTAGCTTAAAATTTAATGTGTATATGTCAAGGGTGTGAGTTAGTAAGATGAATGTCTAGCTTGAGAGCTAGCCAAGACCGTATTTAATAAAGACCCCTTGTTCTAATTCAGGCGAAGAAAGATGGCAGGAGGGAGTGGTAACAACAACAATGGAGGAGAGCTAAGTGAAGTTGTGAGGCAGTTGGCAGCTTTTGCCCAACAATTGGCAAGGAACTCCACCAATAATGTAGATGCTCAGGAAGAGCTATTTAAGAAGGTGGCGCAGAGCAAGCCACCAACCTATCAAGGAGAGCCTGATCCACTGGAAAACTAGTTGAGGGAGTTTGAGAAATTGTTTGGGGTAGTAGGGTGTCCGGAAACTTCAAAAGTAAGTGTGTTACCTATTACCTCAGGGTTGAAGCTGACCTTTGGTGGCAGCAAAATGAAGCTACCATTAAGGCACTACCTGGATTCAACTGGACTATGTTTCAAGAGAAGGTTAGGGACGAGTTTTACCCTAGCTTCTTACAGAAACAAAAAGCTGAGGAAGTTTCTAACCTTGCAATGGGGAATATGTCGGTCACTGAATACTACACCAAGTTTATTAAGCTGTCACGATTTGCTAAAGAGTTTGTTTCTACAAAAAAGTCTAAGGCTAGGAAGTTTGAGAGTGGACTGACTACTAATTTGCAGTTAAAGCTGTGTGGGAAAGTATTTGAAACCTTGGATGAAGTGTATGGGAAAGCTGACCACCTTTATGCGTTGGAGCTGAAAAAAAAGAAAGAGCTAGCTGAGATAGATTGGAAAGAAAAGAGAAAAGAGGTGGGACAAAAAACTGGAAAGTGGAAACCAGCAAGGTGACTAGAACAACTTTAAGAAGCAAAAGTACTACCATAACAACAACAACTTCAGCAACAACAATAATTTCCAAGGTAACAATCGTCACGGAGGACGAAACTTTAATAGTGGAGCTAAGAACTCTAACCAGGGATATAATAAGGATGGAAGACGCTATTTTTGCAAAAGGTGCAAGAATAACCACCCTGGTAGGGATTGTGATGGAAATTTGGTTACTTGTCGTGCTTGCAACAAGTTGGGACACAGGAAGTATGAATATTTCTCCAAGGATCCCAATCGAAACAAACAGGGTAATAATCAAGGAGGGGCTCAGAGAAACTTTCAGGGAAGCAACAACTATTCTGGGAACAAGGGGGCACAGCAGAATGCGGTGAAAACCAACAATAATATTGGAAATAACCAACATAAAGGCGGAGCTACAAGAAAGTTGAATGTGATGAGTAGGCATGAGGCTGATTCCACGAAGGATTTTCATCACTGGTACCTTTTCTATAAACTCTATTCCTGTTAAAGTCTTGTTTGATTCTGGTGCAACTTTTTCTTTCATTTCAAAGGCCGTTGTTTCAAAATTATCAAACTGTTTGAAAACCGTAGATGAGGTAGATTTGCCTATAGTTATTGCTACGGGTAGGGTAGTAAAGTGTAACAAGACCTTTAAAGATGTACCTTTAGAAATCGAAGGAAAAGTGTTTTTGTCAGATCTCATTGAGTTTGAGTTGAGTGACTTTGATGTCATTTTGGGAATGGATTAGTTGAGCAAGTACAACACAGAGATTAGTTGTCGATCACAAAAAGTAAAAATGAGTACAACTGATAATGAGTTGGTGACATATTGGAACCATGGTGAAACAAAGTGCCCAGGCTAAGGATCATCTCTATGTTGAAGTTGGCTAAGTATATTAAGAAGGAGCTTCCAGTATATTTTGTAGTGTGAGGAATTTAGAACATGAAGAGGCAGCTAAGCCTGAGGACATAGAAGTGGTGAATGAGTTTCTGGATGTGTTCCTAGAAGAGATTCCAGGAATTCCACCTAAGAGAGCAATCAATTTCACAATAGAGCTAGTTTCAGGAACATCACCAATTTCCAAGGCACCATATCGAATGGCACCTGCATAGATGAGTGAGTTAAAGGAGCAATTGCAGGATTTATTAGAAAAGGGATACATAAGACCAAGTGCATCACCTTGGGGAGCGTTAGTGTTATTTGTTAAGAAGAAAGATGGAAGTATGAGATTATGTATTGACTATAGGGAGTTAAATAAGGTCATCGTAAAGAACAAGTACCCATTGCCAAGGATTGATGACCTATTTGACCAGTTGAGAGGCGCAACTGTGTTTTCTAAGATTAATTTAAGGTCTGGATATCATCAACTTAGTATTGTAGATGAAGATATTCCCAAGACTACATTTAGAACGAGATATGGACATTCTGAGTTCACAGTAATGCCTTTTGGATTGACGAATGCTCCTGCAATTTTTATGGACTTGATGAATAGGGTGTTTCATCCATTTATGGACAAGTTTGTGGTAGTGTTTATAGATGATATACTGGTGTATTCGAAGAGTAAAGAAGAACATGTAGAACATCTGAGGGCAATTCTACAAACACTAAGGGAAAACAAGCTTTATGCAAAGCTCTCTAAAGGTGAGTTTTGGTTGGAGAAAGTAGCATTTCTGGGTCATTTTGTGTCCAAAGATGGGGTAGAAGTAGATCCAGCAAAGATCGAGGCAGTAAAAGGTTGGCCTGCGCCAAAAACAGTGTCTGACATTAGGAGTTTCTTAGGTTTAGCTTGGTATTATAGGCGTTTTGTAAAAGATTTCTCAAAGATTGCTAAACCTATGACCTCTGACCTCTCTAATGAAGAAGGACAAAAAGTTCGAGTGGGATAACAAATGCTAAGAGGAATTCCAACTCTTGAAGCAAAAGTTAATCACAGCTCCAGTGCTTACACTGCCAGACGATAGTGGAATTTATGATGTATATAGTGACGCATCCAAGAATGGTCTGGGATGTGTACTTATGAAAAATGGGAAGGTAATTGCGTATGCATCAAGACAGTTGAAGACTCATGAAGTAATTACCCTACTCATGACCTAGAATTAGCTGCAATCATTTTTGCACTAAAAATTTGGAGACACTACTTGTATAGAGTGAAATGTAGGATTTATACAGACCATAAGAGTTTAAAATACATTTTCACTCAAATGGATTTAAACTCACGCCTAAGGAGATGGTTAGAATATACGACGGATTATGACTTAGACATACAATATCATGAGGGAAAAGCAAATGTAGTTGGCTCTAAGTCGTAAAACCAGTGATGGACTAAACACTTTGATAGTGGCTGATGAGTTATGTAGAGAAATGAGGAAAATGAATCTAGAAGTGGTAGAATGGGGAGTTCCAGCAGGCATACTTGCGAACCTAAGTATTCAACCAACAATATTTGATGAGATAAGGGAAAATCAAGCAGGAGATGTAAAGTTGGATGGGATTCGCGAGAAAATAAAGCAAGGAAAAGCTACGGATTTCAAAATTCATGAAGATGGGAGTTTAAGGTACAAAGGTCGTTGGTGTGTACCACAAAAATGTGAAGAGGTAAAGAGAAAGTTGATGGAAGAAGGCCACAATACACTATATTCAGTACACCCAGGAGGGGACAAGCTATATAAAGACTTGAAAAAGATGTATTGGTGACCCAGAATGAAGAATAAAGTTGCGGAATTTGTGGCAAACTGTCTAACTTGTCATAAAGTGAAGATAGAACACAAAAGACCGCAAGGAACTGTGCAATCATTGGAAATTCATGGATGGAAATGGGATTGAATTTCAATGGACTTTGTGACTTGCCTCCCAAAGTCAAAGAGTGGAAATGACACCATTTGGGTAGTGGTGGATAGACTTACAAAATCTAAAGTGTTCATACCAATGAAGGAGACCTGGAAGATGAAGTAACTTGCAAAAGCTTACATAAAAAATTTTGTGAGATTACATGGAGTTCCAAAAGATATTGTGTCTGACAGAGATTCTAGGTTTCTTTCAAGCTTCTGGAAGAGTGTGCAGGAAAACTTTGGTACAACATTTAAGATGAGTACAGCATTTCACCCTGCCACAGATGGGCAGACTGAGAGAACCATTCAAACCTTGGAAGACATGTTAAGGGCTTGTGTTAAAGATTTCCAAGGGGGATGGGAAGATAGCTTGGACTTAATTGAATTTTCCTATAATAATAGCTACCATGCAAGCATTGGCATGGCTCCATTTGAGGCATTATATGGAAAGAAGTGTCGCAGTCCAAATTGTTGGAACGACATATGTGAAACAATGATCTTAGGGCCTCAAATGATCGAGGATACAGTTAAGCAAGTAAAGGGACATTCAAGCTAAGATTCAAGCGGCGCAAGATCGCCAAAAGAACTATGCGGATTTGAAACGTAGATAGGAGAATTTGAGGTCGGTGACAAAGTATTGTTAAAGGTATCACCAATGAAAGGTGTAATGAGATTTGGAAAGAAAGGAAAGCTCAGCCCAAAGTATATTGGTCCATATGAAGTATTACAAAGGATAGGCAAAGTAGCTTATAAGTTGGCCTTACCTATGGAGCTAAGTAAAGTGCATGATGTATTTCATGTATCTCAGTCAAGAAGGTATATCCCTGATAAGTCACATGTGCTACAACCCAAAACCATTGAGTTAGATCAAAGCTTAACTTAAGAGGAAAGACCTGTCAAGATCCTTAACATCAAGGTGCGTCGTACACGCAATAAGGAAGTTAAGATTGTTAAAGTGCTATGGTCTAACCAAGAGAATGAAGAAGCAACTTGGGAAGCTGAGGATGAGATGAAAAAGAAATATCCCGAGTTGTTTGAGATATGTTGAGTTATGGGGATGTAACTCGTTTTCCTTTTTTTTTTTTGAAAAATAAGTGATTTTATTATAAAAAAAAATAACAAGGGAAAGCCCTCCACCCAAACAATACAAGCCATACAAGGCTAGACAAACAACAAAGCTAGAGCTAAACAAAACTATCTAACCCTACTCAACTGAAGAGTGGCTAACCATTTACAGTGTTGCCTACTCCATTTACAATTTATAAGCTGCCTAACTCTATCAATAATCTCTAAGCATATACCTTTACGCAAAATTCTAGGAATTATGACAGCTTTTTGCCAATAAGCATGATTCCTAGCTAACCAAATATGATACACCAGAGAAGACAAAGCTGCCAGACCAATTTTCTATCTAATAGGGTCTTTTAGTTTCCTTCTCCAATGCTTCCAGGTGTTATCAATGTTGTAATAAACCTTAGTAATCCCAATCCAAGTGCAAATGAGCTGAACACAGGCCCTGCTATAACTGCAGTCAAAAAACAGATGTTATCTGTCTTCCCCAGGAACACCATACAGCAAACAAGAACTGTCATCACAGCAGCCAAATCTCTCAAGTTTAACTCTTGTTCTAAGCCTATCATGAATGGCTAGCCAGCGAATAAAAGAATTCTTAGGCACACTGTACTTGTTCCAAATCCAGGGGGTCCAATTGACCTTATTCAGATCACCTTGCATCCATTCATACAGATTTTTAAACTTGTAAGGTTGTTGAACCCAGTTATGTAACTCAAAATCAGGCTTCAGCTCATCTTTGATCTTACATAGCTTTTTCCAAGCCCAGCCTGCACTTTTCTTAGGCTCATAATTCCACCAATTCTGATCTTTGATGTAAATAGAGTGAACCCACTTAACCCATAAAGAGTCTTCCTTATTAGCTATCTTCCACACGTACTTTCCCAGGGCAGCCTTATTCCATAAACCACAGTTCCTCACTCCTAGCCCCCCCTACAATCTTAGGAATACAGATCCAATCCCAAGCTATAGGGGGACTTCTAGATAGAATAGCATTGCCATCCCATAAGAAAGCTCGACAAAGCTGAGTGATTCTGCTTATAACAGTAGCCGGAAGAAGCAAATCCTGAGCCCAATAAACATGTAAACTTAGCAAAACAACATTTATCAGTGTCACCCTTGCTGCATAAGACAAATTACGACTTGACCAATAAGTGATTTTCACAAGCATTTTATCAACCAAGCTGTCATAATCAGTGACCCTCAAATACCTGGCATTCAAAGGAATGCCTAAAAATCTGAAAGGGGCTTTACCCACTGCAGAATTTGTTCTTGCACCTCACTAGGAGTATTACCAAAATATATAGCTGTTTTGTCAGGGTTTGCAATCAAACCTGAACACTTACTGAAGGTTTTCAGGGCCCTCTTAATCAAAGAAACAGAACCAGTATCTCCATTAGAGAAGATCATGAGATCATCTGCATATATAAGGTGATTAAGCCCCATACTTTTACATCTGGAATGAAATTTGAACTGCCTTTTCCTACCAATCTTTCTCATCAATCTGGACAAGTATTCCATGGCTATTACAAACAAGAGAGGAGACATAGGGTCTCCCTGTCTTATACCCCTAGCCCCCCTAAAAAAACCATGCATACCTCCATTAATCATCAAAGAAAAATATGGAGAACCAATACATTCCATAATCCAGGCTCTGAATTTAGCAGGGAATCCTAAAGCAGTCAGCATGTCACAAATAAACTTCCAGCTTATGGAATCATAAGCTTTCTGAAGATCTACCTTGATTGTACACCTTGAAGCTTTCCTTTTATTATTATAGTCCTTGAGAATATCCTGGCAGAGAAGGACAATATCCAGGATTGATCTACCAGCTACAAAAGCACTCTGGACTTCAGAAATCAGATCAGGCAAAACCTCTTTCAATCTCATGCAGATCAGCTTAGAGATGATCTTATATACCACGTTGCAGCAAGCTATTGGCCTGAACTGTCCAACCATTGCAGCATTCTCAACTTTAGGAACTAAATTTATTACAGTTGTATTTACTTGTTTTAATAGTTTTCCATGAGCAAAGAAATCCATAACAGCCTTACAAAGGTCCTCCTGAACAATCTCCCATGAAGCCTTAAAAAACTGACTCGAGAACCCATCAGGACCAGGTGCTTTGTTATCATCAATGTCCCACAGAGCAGCTTTAATATCTTCCTTGGTGAAAGGTCTACAGAGTCCAGCACCTTGCTCAGAATTAAGCACCATCCCTTCACTAATAACCTGTTGATGAATAGTGTTAACAGGAGGAGAAGAAGAACCTAACAGATTCTTATAGAACTCCAAGAAAGCATCAGTAATCTCATCTGGATCCTACACAATATTGCCATCTAACCCTTGAATACTACAAATTCTATTCAGGATTCTTCGCTTCCTAATACAAGCATGAAAAAAAACAGTATTAGAGTCTCCATCCTTCATCCAGTGCAGCTTAGATTTATGTTTCAGGAACTTAAGCTTCTTTTGGTGACTCACATTAAAAGCCTGTCTGGCTTCAAACTCAGCCTTAATAAGGGTCTCATTAGATGGATCAGTATCAAGTTGTTGTTGCACCTTTCTAAGCTCATGAGCCAATCTGTCATCCTCAACTAGAACACCAGAAGGATGTTGCTTACTAAACTCTTTCAAAGCTTCTTTCACAACTTTTAGCTTCCTGGTAAGAACAAACATAGGGGAACCCCAGTATCTCACCTTCCAAGTATCACAGACCAGCTTCTAAAAACCAGGATAATCAACCCAATGATTAAAAAATTTAAAAGGTTTTCTAACATTCCCCTGTGAAGCAAACATGTTCACTACACAGGGATTATGATCCATTAATCCTTTTGGAAGAAACACAACCTAAGCATGCTGATAAAGCCTAATCTAGTCCTCATTCACCAAGACCCTGTCAATCTTAGAACATACCCTATCCAACCCTTTCTGTTTATTGTTCCAGGTGAATAACTTTCCACCTGTTTTAAGGTTAGACAAGTTACTTTGTCTCAAGCACGATCTGAAATTTTCAACCTCACCTAAAGAAACAGTTGACCTTATCCTGTCTTCTAAATTTAGTACATTATTAAAGTCACCACACACTACCCAAGGACCATCTATATCAATACTGAAATCACAAATATTCTGCCACAACTCCTCTCTTTTCACAGCCTCATTCAACCCATACACCAAGGTGAACCAGAATTCAATACCAGAAGCTATATGAAATATCTTACAGTGCATACACTGAGCTTCCACCTTAATCACATTAACTTTGAAAATACTAGGTCTCCAAATACATCAAATTCTACCCCCACCAATCTTAGGGTAATTAGAGCAATAGACCAATCCCCTCCAAATTTAGTAAAGACCATACCAAAGTTGGCAGCCTTTACTTTGGTTTCTAGGAGCCCAAACAATCCAATATTCTGAGTATTAAGAAAATGAAGAACATCACAAATTTTACTTAGATAGTTTAGGCCCCTAATATTCCAAAATCCCCAACTATCCATGTGAGGGATAGGGAAACACAACCCCCCACACACTTCCATACACAACAGTATCCTTGAATAAGCCAATATTATCATATCCTTGCATCGAGTCTTTCTTTATTACTGAAGCTGATCTTTGCATCTGCTGATCATTCCTGCACTTGTACTGTTCAGCAAAATTAAAACTTGTCACAGATGACTCAGGTGGCTCATTCCTTTGCACTGGTCTCCAGATCTTCTTGACTCTCTGTGTTGATTTCCTTTCCTTTACTATTCTGACATTAGGACATTGGCTTTTATCATGCCCCATACCACTACAAATAGGGCATGAAATAGGCTTCCATTCAAACACTACTTGCTGTTTAATAACATGTCCCACCTCATCAAGAAATTCAATAGACTCCATCATCTCACTATTGATCTTAACTTGTACCATAATCCTGGCATAAGCAATCTGTTCTTTAGTGGTTGTAGCCCTGTCCGTTTTAATAGGTTTACCAATTAAGCTGGCTATCTTCAAAAGAGCCTGTTGCCCCCAGAACTTCAGATTAAGACCTGGCAATCGAATCCAAACATGAACATAATCAACATTCTCCTCTTTTAGATTCATCCCAGACCTCCACCTTTTCACGACAATTGGTTTCTTATCAAAGAATCGAACAAGAAAAACACCATCATCACTCAGGCAAATCTTATCAATGCCAAATTTTCCCCAATTCCTTCTAATGAAACCAGAGAATACATTCATAGAAGGTTTACCACAAACTACATAACAAACCACAGCTGAGTTCCAATAATCCACTTCCGAAGCAACATCTTCCAAAGATAATTGCAACATTCCCCTAGTCCCAGCAGCATCTTGAGGACGCATTGAATGCTCTTGGAAGAACAAACCCTCATCCGACACCTTAGAAACTTTATCTCTCCATGCAGTTCCCAGATTAGACCCAGAACATTTATTCCCAAAAACAGAGTAATTAGGAATTGGGGGAAAAATTGGTGTTCTAGG